CTCCCTTAGGTCGCGGCCGGGCCGCGGTTCCGGTTCCGGGTCGGCGCTGCCGCGATGTCAGACTCGGAGAGCGAGGAGGAGGCGGATGGCGGCCGCGCCGAGCCCTTCTCGCTAGCCGGGTTCCTCTTCGGCAACATCAATGAGGCGGGGCAGCTGGAGGGGGACAGCGTCCTCGACAAGGTAGGGCTGTGTCGCTGCGGGGAGATGCCAGTTCGTCCCGCCCGGCGGCGCGGGCTGAGGGACGGGAGAGGAGCCGGGGTCCTAGCGGCGCGGCTCCGAGGCGGGCCAAGGAGGAGGTGTTGGTGGGACAGGCACCGGGGCAGGCCCGGGGAAGTGTCGGTGGGGTAGGCTCCAGGACGGGACCGAGCATGCGGTTAGAGGGCTGAGCCCGGCCTGGCTGGGGGAGCCGGCGGAGCCTCCCAGCTGGGACGTGGCTCTGGTCTCTCCAGGAATCCAAGAAGCACCTGGCCGGGTTGGGTGTGCTGGGACTGGGCAACCTGATCACTGAGATCACAGCCAGCGAGGAGGACAGCCCGGAGGCCGATGGATCCCACCTGGACGAGGAAGGTTAGGCACTGGGGTACCTGCAGTTAAATGACAGAGGGACTGTAGGATCAGAGCTCATACTGGAGAGGAAGAAACGCACCTAGGTCATCTGGGGCTGCAAGGAATATCATGATGTTACCTGGTCAGAGGTCCTCTAGCAAAGGCCTTGCCTTATCCTTCTTGCCAGAGTGTGAATCCCACATTATCTTCTGGTTACTTTTGCACTTGTTTGCTTTAATTTTTTATAAGTTAGTTTTTTTTTTTTTTAACTTGTCTCTCCTGCCTCACAAATAAGTTTATTCTGTGTTTTCCCCTATGTTAAACAAGTCTATTCAGTGCACAGTATTATTACATCTCTTTTTTTTTATTTCTGAGCTTGTTGAACAGTTTCACTGAGTAAGTGAAAGGTGTTCTTTGCACTAAAGTTGGTTAATTACCAATCTTTAGGGGAAATTCAGAGCTCTTGGAGCTTTTGGTTGGAGTGAAGGGAAGAATACTCTGATGGGAGATGTTAATCAGATGTTTTTGTTCCTCTAAAAAAAGGAAGCATAGGAGACTACATAGTGAAGTCTGAAGTTAGTAATGCGTATTAGGATAAAGTTTTGTGTGACTAGATTTCTTTTCTTCCTAGGCTGGGTTAAGAGCACGGAAGATGCTGTTGATTATTCAGATATTAATGAAGTGGCAGAAGATGAGAGCCGTAGGTATAAGCAGGCAATGGGCAGCCTGCAGCCAGTTCGAAGACCAGGTAAATGTGATTAGCGTTACACTCTAGCTGTAGCAGGTATTTTGGGTCAATGGGCCTTGACAGTCTCTTATATGGGTGACATTGTGCCTTTTCACTCCTTGCTTCAAGAACTCAATATAAGCCTTTGTGAAACTGTGTTCACTGGATGAAGCCACTGTTTGATATTGTCCTTTTTTAAGGAATTAGTTCCTCATTAGAGTTAAACTATGCTCAGAAGAGAAACCAGGATCCTCCTTTTGCTCTGGGATCCCCTGCAGAGAATACCCAATACCTGCTCATATTTCTTTAACCTGTGTTCTTAGGAAGAGCATTATGCAGGAGGCCAGGTGCTTCTCGGAGATACTCAAAGATAGAGATAAGGTCCTGATCCCTTAGAGAGTCACTTCAATCTTAATATCTCTCTCCTCTTTTACCCTTGAATTCTTTTTCTGAAATGACTTTCTGCAGAAAGCACTTTGGTTCTTTTGTTGGTCCCAGGGATCTCTGTCTGGCCTAGAACAGGTTTTCAAAAACATGCAGCTTTCCTCTTTCAGTAGCTGCTAGTGCAAATGCTACATCTTTGCATATTCCTTAAAGCTGCCTTACACTTAACCTTTCTGTTGACATATTGTGGTTAGTGGGATGTAAAGGTGGTTTGGGCTTTTTAACCACATTTTTCTTACTTCTTTAGCAGCTTTATTTGCTCTGCAAAGCATGAATAAGGGGAGGTGATAGCAGAATATATTATATATATATTTTAAGTGCTTCAGCCACCTTTCTGTCAGTTTGCCTTTTTCCCTCCTTCCCACTCTTTCTTAAATTTCAGTCTTGCAAATGAGTTTGTGCAGGAAGCCGGACTTGTAAGAGTTTTGCATCTAGTTACAAAATGAGAATGGTCTCCTTACTAATGAGAAGACATGGTCTTCTCATCAGGTTGGGACAGGTATGAGATAGTATAAATGGGAAGGGTGCCTGGTTCCTTTTTATTGTCAGCTTAATATGCAGTCTTGTCTCCTGACTGGTTAGATGAAGATGAGGATGATTACGATGCTGACTGTGAAGATATTGATTCCAAGTTGATGCCGCCGCCGCCACCACCTCCAGTACCTGGAAAGAAAGAAGATGAAAAGGATGCAGCTGCCACTGGTGAGTGAGGACTTTCTTCTTCTCTCTGGCAATATGAATGTCTGAAGGAAGCAAACACTGCTGTGTAGCAGTTCATTCTGCGGCAAGCACCACACATCGTCAAAATTCGGTCTCCAGACTGCATCTAAAGGTGGGTCTTTGTCCTGATCTGCAATGTTATAGGATTGTCTGAAATGTAGGGTGAAATATTATATTTCCAGTGATTGTTAAAATACTGATATTGACAATGAAACTGCTTTTTTATCTCATCCTCTCAGTTGTGGCTGGGAAATTCACCTGGAACGCTTAGGATAAAATGAAAGGTTAAACCAGAATGGTACTCATAACACCCGCAGAGGCTTAATTTTTGCATAACTTGGTATAAACAGTAGATGTGGCATTATGGGGTTGTACTAGGGGACAGGGAGGAAACCTGTTTGTTTATAAGGTGCTTGTTCTATTGTAGTATCTGAAGATGGAGACGGTATCATTTTGCCCTCCATCATTGCTCCTTCCTCTGCTGCCTCCGACAAGGTGGATTTCAGCAGCAGCTCTGATTCTGAGTCAGAGATGGGACCTCAAGAAGCCAGGCAGGCAGAATCCAAGGAAGGCAAACTCACACTTCCTCTTGCAGGAATCATGCAGCGAGATGCTACCAAACAGTTGCCAAGTGTTACAGAGCTCTTCCCGGAATTTCGACCAGGCAAGGTATTGTAAGAGATATGTGGAAGCGACAGAAACTGTATCATGTAAGCTCTCTAAATACGAATTGTATAGTATTAAGGGTATGTAGTAAGCAGTCGCATAGATGTTCTTGCTTACCTCAATACTTTCTTTAGTTTCTGTGTGATGCTGTTTCCAGACTGCTTAACATGTAATGCTTTTCCTGCCATTTGCAGGAGCCTCTTAAAAAGCATCATATAAATCAGGGTGTGAAATAATGTTTTGCTCTTCTGTAAGACCATAGCACATGCCTGTTGATTTGTGAAAACTGGTTTTCTGAGGTAGTAGAGAATACTTTTGCCAGATGACTAAAAAACATAATGCTAATCTGTCTGCTTTCTGGCTTTTCTGGCAAATACTTGCTCCTCCTTTCATGCTGTCCTGAACTTGGTGTGCTCTTCCTGAAACAATTTGTGATCTGTATCCTTTACTTAATCCTCCCTCAAAACTGCTCTGAGCATGGATCAGAAATTACCTCAATAACAAGTTAGTTGAAAGAATGATTGTTTTTTGCACAAAGCGAATTCATTACAATACTTTCCTAAATGCTCCCAAATAGCAAATGTAGTCAATGTATTTCAGTAATTATTTTGAAAGTTTTAAAGCTGTCAAGAGGAGAGGAAATGTGGGAGGGGAAGGAGAATAAAGATGAGCTTATAGTTGCCAAACAGATGGTTGTGAGCCAGGGTAACTTCGTTTTATGTGTGCCTTCATCACAGGCTTTGTGTAAGGAGCTGGGCAATTTGCATAATTAAATGTCATGTTTTAATGATTTAGCTAACCTCTCTCTATTAGGAATCTAGGTGAGTCTGTAGCACAGAAGTTAGCCTTCTGGATGCTCTCTTGGCTTTTGCAAATTTGGTGTTTCCTGTGTTACTGTATTTTGTATCAGTTGGTGTGTTCATTTATTTGGTGCTCAATATGTAATGTCAGGGACTGGTTCAGTGTTGAATGTGCCCAGTGGGTGCAGAAATCAGTGCAAGCTCTTAATGCTGAGCACTTTTCATAATTAATTCCTGAGCACTAGAGCTGGCAAAGCCTGAAATCCTGTAGATTTGGCTATGAGGATTGGTTGATGTCTGAGAATGTGCATGTTAATGTAGCACTGTTTTTCTTGATGAAATAGCATGTGGAGAAGCAGACTTTGTGTTTCATTAAACTGTTAGCAGCTTAACTATGTCTGAGACCTTTGCCCTTAGTGAAAGGTCACTGAAACTGGCCAACGGGTTCAGAAGTAACCTGGGGGAGTTTTGGGAAGAACCCATGGATGTGGGTAGAGATG